TCTAACTTGAGTGAGCATGTTACTTCACATGCAATTCTTCTAATTGTTTATTTAATGTTTAAACAAAATATTAATGTTGATAAAATTTAAGTAACTATTAAATGTACTTGAATGTAATTTCATAATACCTGTTTGAATTGCATACGTGTACACTTTTCTTAGATTGAATTGTGTCTACTCTCAATAAAATATATAAACAAATGCTCATAACCCACTAGAATAATATTCTATTTCTTTCATCCTTAAAAACAACCTTATTTTCATAGTATAAAGGCCTATTGAGGACAAATACATTCCTCAAGAAAAATCTTCAAGAATAAAAGCACACTGAAATATACCATAATATTATAGTAATTAAGATAGTTTGTATCGATACACACATACACAAATAAGTCAATGTAATAGGAGAAAAAGTCTCTCCACCAAAAATATCCATATATAGGAACTTGCTATATGAAATGAGATGCATTATAAATCAGTCTGGAAATTACAGACCCTACAATAAATGGCATTAGGTTAACTGGCTTTCCATATTAAGCACACACACAGAATACACATGTAGAATATGTACTTTACATAATGAGAATCCTCTATCACAATAAATATCAAAGATTGGGCAAAAAACAGGTAACTCAAAGATGAGAATGCTGAGTGACCAATAAACGTAAGAAAATGTTTTGAAATTTCAAAATTCATTGGAGAATTCCAATTAATACAACAATTATGAACTATTTTTCAGGAAACATAAAATATAGACCAGTTTTAACAATTAATCAGATAATTTGACAGGAAAAGGTAGGATGAAGGCCTTCAGATTTATCTGTAATATATATTTAATAAAAGCAAATAAAACAAAAACAATTTTTCTGAATTGCATGGAAGAAGTTTTACAGTAGAACAAGTAGTATAAACCAGTGAGACAAGAAATGGTTAATATCAAATGACAGGTGACATTATAAAAGGAAAAAAAAACCTGTTGAGAGATACTTTAAAGAAAAATCTAAAGATTAATTCTATTTTTATTGAGTTACCTGATTTAATCTGGAACTTAATTTTAATTCTTAAAAATATTTAAAAATATTTTTAATAAAGTGTCAAGAAGTGTCCACTGTACAAAAACAGTATATTTATTAGGCAATAAATCATCTAATAAAATTCACCATATTTTTGCACAAATAACATACACACATAGCACGCATAGGAAACTACACAAAAGGGTTTCGCAGTTTGTAAAATGAACTGCATAATGTATGCATTATGTGTATAAAATTATGGTATTGAGAAAAGCAAATAATATATTTAGATGCCATTTTTAAAATCTAATATATGCTTAAAAGTATAGAATTCAGATAGTAATTTTAAGTAGCAATCCCCTCTCATTCATTTTAGCATTTAAAGTCAACTTTAGAACCTTAAATTTAAATTTAATTTTTCTAATTAAACACTTTAAATACTAGTAAAAGGGAGTGGATTTTACTGGTAGCATAGTGCCTAAGGCACTTGACTGTTAAGCAGAAGGCTGGCGGTTCAAATCCACCAGCCACTCCTCGGAAGGAAGGTTGGGCAATCTACTTCCGTACAGATACTGCCTCGGCAACCCAAGGAGGGGTCGGTATGAGTCAGGGCTGACTCGATGGCACATAACAACAAACAACAATATTCTGTTTAAAATTATTTGTTTCAAACTTTAGGCAATAGGTACAAAGACACATTGTCATCTCATTCTCTTTTCAAACAATTCATTAATTAAATATATAAGACAATAAAAGTCCTGTTTGTGTGTTAACTGTGGCAAATATATGATTTTCTAAAGATTTAATTAAATAGTCAAACACATTTCAAAATAAAATGTTTAAGGCCTAAGTTTGTACTTAAAAATTTAAAAACTCTCATAAGACAGATAGCAAAATCCACACCAAAGTATTATTTCCAGGTCATTTTATTGAAGTAATATTGTTATTGTTACACCTAACCAAACTAGGGAAAACTGTCCCCTCTACAAAGTCAGACTTCTAGCATTTTTGTCCCAGAGATACACAAAAGTGTCTGAAACATTGTCATTGCACCGCAGATGTCAAAAAAGCAAAGAGTTGAACAGTAAGGACAACATAGGATTCCGTCCTAGAGTTCCTCCAAATCACTGTCCAAATGAAGGCAAAGGCATGGGCCTTATATTATTATTAACCTTATTATTAATTATTATTGTTATTAATTAACAATAATATATTATTATTAACCTTATTAACCAATAATGGCAAACTTATTAACCAAAAAAAATGGTATTTTAAAATTCACTTATAAGTTATAGAAAAATCAACTTAGAAAAATTGCACACTAGTCTACTCTCCTAACCTTTGTATAATTTGGTTGAAAAATAGATTTCTATTCCTTTAAAGGTCAAAAATCAATCACTGTTTTATCAAACAATCCAAAAATAAAATTATCTGCATCAAGTTGCACTTTGCCTTAAATACTCACGGCAATTCTAGTTTGAGAAAATAGTAACATTTTGCACTTTGCACAACACTGACTGTCAATTAATATGCATCTCATGTTTGGCTTATCTTCATAAGAACTTTGAGATTTGGGTAAATTTGGGTAAAGCACACCCAGGGAATATAAAAGACTTTCTAAAAAGAGTCACCCTAAATAATCAACCTGGGGGGAAAAAATGTTTTTCTAAGTAGTTCGAGTAGGAGATTATCATTTATGATTTGATAGATAAACACCCACTTCTGACTTACGAAAGATCTTATTAACTGTCATTTTGCATTTAAGACAATAGTAAAAATATAGACTACATGACTATTTTGCTCATTAATGACATGCTTATGGCAGTAATAAATGCCAGGTTGTGAAACAAGAAAAACGCTGACTGTGATGTTTAAGGTTATGTGTCAACTTGGCTGAGCCATGATTCTCAGTGGCGTAACAATGATGTAACGATGTAAATTGGCAGTTATGTAATGACGAAATTTAGCAGTTCTGTAAGAATGTAGTCATCCTCCATCTTGTTACCTGAGGTGGTGACTCTTAATTTTTGCATAACGCCAATTTTTGCATAATGACCTGGTATTTGGAAACTTTTCATGTTGATCGGTGAGGAAAAAGCATATTTGAAGCCACAGTTATCCAAACTGTAATTGGAATGGAAAAGAAAGATACATTCCCACACTATAACTTAGTTCACTTAGAATGCATTTATTGCAGTCCTATTCTACGCATTGGTCATGCTTTCAGAAAAGGAGAAGGATATCATGCTTGGTGAAGCAGAAGGTCAGTGAAAAAGGGGAAGGCCCTCAACAAGATGGATTGACACAGTGGCTGCTACAGTGGGCTGAAGCACAGCAAGGATTGTGAGGATGGCGCAGGACTGGGCAGTATATTGTTCTATTGTACACAGGGTTGCTGTGAGTAGGAACTGACTCGACAGTACCTGACAATAGTCTATGTATCACTCCTCATTACGGGATCCTCATGGAAAGTCCCAAGTGTGGCCACCCTCTATTTCAGTAGGTTCCTAGTATATTCTATTCAGCAGTTAAGGTACATTTGAAGCACTGCCTTAAATATGTACATAGACTCTGGTTTGGAAGGGGTGGTACGAATTTCATAAAAACCAAGTGAATGTTTCCAGAGGGATGATTTCCATTCTCTCTCTCTGTCTCTCTCTCTCTCCCTGAAGTTCAGGTCACTGACAAATTAATATTTTAACTAATTTAGTTTTGAAATGTTGTGTTAGTTCATATATATATTGTGTGCCCTTTCACTTATTCCATGTTGCAGAAGTTTGCCCTGGTTTAATGAAGAGGTGCTGGGTCCCCAAAGAAAAATAGGGAGGAATTCAAGTGAAACTTCTCAATCAACTAAGGATTTTCTCAGGTTGTAAAAATCATACTTTGCACTAGGGAGGTAAGCCTAATGCAATTTTGAATTTGGTAAGAAAAGAAATTAAATCCAAGAATTTATTGCAACAACTCACAAACTCAGATTTTCTCATTCCCAAGAGCCCTTCCTTAGAATTAATGTGTCAGAGAGCAAGAAGACAATACCCTAATTTATTAACAAAAGCAAAGTGAGACTTAAGCTTGAGAGGTATTATAAGACGGGTCCTAAAAGGAAAAGAGTGCATGTGTTTAAGTTGAAAAAACCTCATAGTTAAGTCATTAACTAAAAATCTAGTGTTGACAGGTATTTCATTTAGGCTTCTAGCCATCTGATCCCTAAGGATCACAAAATCTTACTGTAGCCTCCATATAAGCTGATCATTTAAATGATGCATGAGAATTGACCTGGTAATTGATCTCAAATAGGTGACCCCAGAGAGTACAAGGATGGTCTAGCAAATCAAAGTCACTTACAAAGGATTCACAAAAGGGAAAGTCATGACCAAAAGTTATGGAATAAACTGTGAAAACATCCTTTCATATTTTTCACTATAAATTTATACCCAAATAAGAGATCTATCTATTTCCATAAGTCCACAAAATCCAACAATTTTGGGGGTAAAAAAAAAAACTTATTAAGTTTCAGGATTTTAAAAAATTCTTTAGCTTCAATTACGAAAAAAATATTCCAAAAATACTGATTATTTATTTTTTTCAATCTATAAAGATTAAATAGAGTTACAGGGAAAATAATGAATTAAGCAAGACAGACTTTTTACAATGGGGTCTCCTCGCCACTCTCCAATGTAAAGTTAATAAAAAAGTTGTATTTTCAGATCCTTTAAAATGTATAACTTTGGGTCAAAGTATTTAAATAACTTTCTAGGGCTGCAACTAATATGACATACGGCTTTATACAACTTCATTTCTGCATCCAAGTAGTTGAATAAAATAGTGCTTATTGCATAAAACACTTACACATTAGCTGTATACCACACTAAAAATGTTGGCTACCAACAAAGTACCAGGGATTAAAATTACTTCAAAATCTTTGTGCTTAAGGGAGGAGGGGATTAAAAACAAGAAAACAAAAGCATGCGTATATCTTCATACCTCAGTAGCAAACTGCTGCAATCCTCCAATATTAATTGGTCCCTCTTCAGAAGCATATAAATTGCATCCTCCTACACAAAGATCAGAGGTTGGACATACCATTCCACAAGTCAGACCAAGTGGGTTGTCAGAAAAAATCATCTTAGCAGCTCCATAGTAGTTCTGCATAAATAAAGTAAAATTTTGTTATTTAAGATTATTTTAACATTCAAATTATGACCAACATTATTATTCTTTCTAATAAGTAACTATATTGGCGATCCATATACACACACACACACACACACATACACACACTGCTGTGGAGTCAGATCCAACTCATAGTGACCTAACCTTGGGTTTCCGAGGCAGTATTACTACAGAAGTAGATTGTCCATCGTTCCTTCTGAGGAGTGGCTGGTGGGTTTGAACCACCAGCCTTCTGGTTAGCAGTCAAATCCCTTAGGCACTACGCCACCAGAGCCCCTTATATATCTATATCTATATCTACATCTACATCTACACCTACACCTACACCTACATCTACATCTATATTTATATCTATATATCTATCGTCTTTTGGTTAGCAGTGAAATGCCTTAGGCACTATGCCACCAGAACTCCCATGTAGATAGACAGATATGTTGTTGTTGTTGTTACATGCTGTCGAGTTGTCTCAGATAGATATGTTGTTGTTGTTATGTGCCATCGAGTCGGACCTGACTCATAGTGACCCCTCCTTAGATTGCCGAGGCGGTATCAACTATGAAAATAGATTGCCCAAACTTCCTTCCAAGGAGTGACTGGTGGATTTGAACCTCCAGCCTCTGGTTAGCAGTCAAGTGCCTTAGGGACTATGCTAGCAGACCTCACAGATAGATATAGTTATATCTAAATATATAGCTGCATCTATCTATATATAGATACATAGAGACAGATATCTATAATATACAAGATACATAGGCTACAATACTCCTTACCATCAGGAACAATCAAATAATACTTAGCAAAACACCTAATACCTATTATATAGGAAGTATGCAATATATGGTACACTAATAAATGAACAATTAATTTTAGAAAACTGAATTGTAACATACAGATGTTCTACAGGATGCAGACCAAGATCATTATTCAGGCATTCCTAGAACAGACTTCCACAATTTTCGTTCTCATTTCCTTTCCCACATTTAACTATTACAGAATAGCTTAGAAATTCCTCTAATGTGTTGTTTTGTGCCTTTGTTCAAGCTGTTTCATGTCTCTGCCTAAAAGTGTTTCTACCTGATTTCACACTTCTTCCCAAAATCTTCTGGGGTGGAATCAAAGAGCAAAAGATACTTGTTGCCAAAGTAGCCTAACCAAGCAATTTTCTCTCGCCAAAATACCCAACAGACACAGTTTTTTCCTGGGTAATAATTCCTTTTCATCCCTGAAGACTTTCTCAGCTCAAATAATATTTTTAGGAAACTATTCCAGGACTTTGCACACTGACGTTATTTATTATTGGACTGTTTCTTCTACTACATAGTATACATAGTAGACATCATGTAGGCAAGGACTCTGGCTCACTGCCTTTGTAGCTCTAGAATTTAGGATGATTTCCAGCCTATGGGGTAAATGATGATTTTGTAAAACTGAACTTTTGGAGACCAGGAAAGCAGAGCTTTACCAAAATGCTTTTAATGCTATTTAGAGTTATTAGTGCCCTGAAAAAAACCACACACACACACACACACACACGTATATACATAACATTTAATCTTCCTGGCTCCAATATGATGGTGTTACGTTTAAGAACATGCTTTTTCATTCTAAGTTGACGAAGCAACTTTCATTGACTAAAAAGAAAGACAAACAGATTTTATATCATGACTCAGTTCATAACACAAGTTATTGTTGTCAGTTGCTATTGAGTCAGCTTCTACACATGATGAACTTAAGTATAACAGAACAAAACCTTGCCCAGTCCTGTGGCATCTTCCTGATCTTTGGTATGTTTTAGTCTATTGTCATGGATATTGTGTCAATTTCTCATTAAGAGTGTGCAGAGGTCAAAAACAAACTGCATGATACAATACTAACCTTACTGTAGACAACTCAACCTGACTCTACTCATTTCATTTTCAAAAAACAAAGTGGTCAGCTGATCCAAGTAATTAATATCATGTGCTTGAAATTGGAAAATCACTGTCCTACACTACTTCACTAGATGATCACTGAGCCTGTCTTGCCCCTGTCCTCCACTAGGATTCTGGAGTTGAGCTTTTGGAAATGGATTACCTAATATTTTTTTGCTCTTCATAAGATTATAACATGATTGCATAGTTTTCCAGAATCAAAATCTTTCTTTCATTTCACTCATATTTTAGTTTCTTAATCCCAAATAGCTCCTAAATCCTAAAGCTTACCAAGACCTAATGGACTTCTATCTCTGATCCCTAGCACATCGATGTCTGTATCCATCAGCATCTAAAAATATTCTACCTTTAGAAACAGTTGGGTTCTTCGAGAAATACTATGCTGATCCCCTCAGGGTCATTCGGGTCACCTGGGTTTCACTCCACTAGCATCCAAATTTTATCTGTTCTCTCTGTCTCTCACTGCTATCAACTTGTATCTTTTAAAATAAATAATTAAGATTTCAATGTATATTTATTTTGAATTGCCCACATTTTTACTCTATTTTGCCTTCTAGTTAGCATGTTAACAGTAATGAATATAATCAACACAGATGATATTTGTAAAATATTTCATATAATCCTTCAAATTGCCATTTCAGGAGGATTAGTATTTTATCCACACTTTACAGATGGGAAACCTTAGAACAGTTGACCAAATTGTGTAAGTACATACAGCTAGTTAAAAGGAGAGACAAAATTTTGGTTCTCAACTAGTTTAACTTTTGTGTTGCTAATAGCTTAGCATTTTTCATAGAATCTTATCTTTAATAACATTAGATAGATTTTTGGGCAAGTCTTTAAATCTAGCTTACTTCCATGGCATTATTTCTATGTGGAAATACACATAGAAATCTACTCATTTTGTTAACAGCCTTTGGAATTCAACTCATTCATAAATTGAACAACTAAATCCTTACTATTGAATAAAGACTGGAAAGTAACTGAAATATTTGGGGTTACTTTTTCCCATAAACAAAAGTAAGGGTTGAACCTGACCAGTACTCCTCAAACTGCGTAACACATCAACAACAAGGAATAGCCTCAGAAACTGTCACAGCCACGGGGAGCCTAAGCAAACAATGACACCTAATATAATATGGCCTCCTGGATAGGATCCTTGAACAGAAAAAGAGTATTAGGTAAAAACTAAGGAAATATGAATAAACTATGGACTTTAGTTAATGATAATAAATATGTTGTTGTTGTTGTTGTTTGCCGTCGAGTTGGCCCCGACTCATAGCGACCCCTCCTTGGGTTTCCGAGGCAGTATCACTACGGAAGTAGGATTGCCCAACCTTCCTTCCGAGGAGTGGCT